TGTTAAAACTTTGTTATGGCAATTAAATGTTTGCCCAAGTGGGAGAATGTTGGAATAATTAATTATTGCATATGTGGGCTTCATATTGGATTGCAAATTTTACGGGTTAGATGTATGACTCATAATAATATTTGTATTTGGGTCAAATTTATTAAGTGATCAATTGGGCCTTTTATTTTGGGCCAAATTTATTAAGTGATCAATTTGGCCTTTTACACTTTACGGGTTGTAATTAATTTGATGTGGTAATTTAAAGTATGTGGGCCGAAAATAAACCCTAATTAGAATTCTAGTCGTAATGAGACGACTCAAATTATTTTCTATATATGAAGGTTAAGTCCCCTCTTCTCTCTATATGTTTTATTGGCTTGCCCCATTGATAGCTGATATTTTGTGAGGAGCAAGGAGGGGAAGATTTTGGTTGCTATTACAACTACTAGTCATATCAACAATGGCTTCCGCATGTATGAATTCGTTTATATTAATTTATTGAATTGTGATTATCGATTCTTAACATGATTAAAACTAAATATTAACAACAAATACTTTGAATGTTTGACACATGTTCTTGAAAATAATTGATTATAAATAAAATACTTAATTATGCAAACACGTTAACCCCAATAGTGTGTACACAAGTTGCATGAACATTTAGACACTAGTTAATTATTTGTATTTCCCATAGATACAAATATCTTTAATTATACAGCCAAGGTTTTCAATTTTGCTCATCCAACTCACGTTTGAGACTTTGACAATTTATAAAATCAATATGTTGGCTTTTGTAAAATCAAAGAATCACTTTAATACTTCAACATTGATTGTATATTTTTTTTAACATGATATTCATAGATCAAAATATCAAATTTCTCCTAGAGAAATTTTTAATGACCATTTGATTTTAATTATAAATAGTGAAAAATACGAAGTATTTCGTATTATATTTGTTTTCTCTTCAAAGTGTGTATAGTTTTATTTCTTTTTAATAAATGGACATCGTCAGAAATTGAATATTATGAATTTTATGTGCTTCGATAAAAACAAATTCCATCTATTTGTTTGTGAAATATATGTAGTTTTTCATTGTGTGGAAGACATCAAGATTTGAATTCAAAAAATTTATATATAATATAAAACGAAAAAAGGTACCGTTAGGATGGGTTTTTTTGGTCCCAAATGACAAAGTGTCCTTTGCTGAAAGGCCTTACTGATGAAAATTTTACAAATAGAAAATTGATTCATAATATTTTTCTTCAATGAAGTTCACAATATAATGTTTTCCCCTTAGAAATGTCTAATGGTATCCTCACAATATATATTTATTGATAGAAAATGTATTTTTTTCTTGAGAATTACCAACAAAATTTTCGATGGAATTTCATAATTCATAGACGAATATTTCCCCTGAAATAAATTTAAAAACATTTTGTGACATATTCATCAATAAATCATAACAAAATTATTCAGTCTTATAACATTTTTTTTAATGATCTAAACGTAATTCATTTATATATATTTTGTAGTTCACAAGATTCACGGGTCTTATGTCACTTATTTTAATAATCAATTTCATTTAAATTATTACCAATGCCCAGTAGGATCCTCGTAATCTTGGAGAAGAATGGACGAGAAGGAAGCTGGAATTTTGATTCTCTCTAATTAAGAAAAGAAAAAAAAAAAAAAAGAGAAGAAGAGAAGAAGAAGAAGAAGAAGATTATCATGCATTACGTCACATTGTTTTTCATTATTATTTCATTTATTCAAAATTGATCCAGTTAAGAATATAGCAAAATGGCTATTTTGTTTCTAGCATACGGTATCTGATTACTTCTTGTACATTATTGAAATTTAAATAACATATATATTTTATGCACCTAAGAAAAAGAAAAGAAATAATTATCGTGGTCATCACGGTCAAAAATTAACTTTCTCGTCTCATACTCCTTTCTTTCATGACTATACACGTGAAAAGAATTTGTAAGGTTTTACGCCTATATATCTCTTCCGATGTCCAAGCATTTGACAATATAATTGAAGAAAATTTACGATAAACAATTTGGGGATGTTTAGGAATTATGGGTGGGAACCATGTTCCCCGTATCTCTCCCTATTTACTATTCGGGCCGAGGCAAGACAGGGTGGGTCGAGAATGAAGTATTTTGTTATCCCTACACACAATAGAATTTTATTTCGATGGGGTCATTTTTGAATTGTACCTATCTGTCGTTAATATTGAAGATATACTTTCTATGTTTAACATTAACAAAGTCTACTATAAAATGTTATTCGTAGTGAAGACTGTCAGTAGTCGTTCTATGTGGCATACACTTGACAATTTGGTATTTGATACATAAATATGGTAGTTATTTTTTGAATTATACATCAAATTAAAAACTGCAAAGTGTACGCCACATAAGGCGACTGCTGGTAATCTTTATTGCGAATAACATTATTCTATAATTATACTACATCTCGACATTTATGTCTCTTAAATGTATCTTAGTATTGTCCAAATAGATTAGTGATGCATTGAATCACGACCAATTTTTAATAAATATGGGATTTTAATAACTTATTTCTTGCTGTCAATTATTAAAATTTCAAAAAGTAAACGGCAACATATTATATGCACCTTACTTTCCGGTTTCCATATGGTGTTTATCATGGGCTGACAAGATTACACGTCAATGACAGCTTTATTTCAGATGAATTCTCATCTTACAGCAAAACAGCTTATTTATAATCACTTATTTTAGTATTCTAATTATTGATACAAAGAAATCTTGTGAAATATCTAGCTGCATGTACACACACATATATATAGCTGAAAAAACCTATGCATTCATCGAACTTGAGTCTGTACTCTGTATACTCCTCGTCTAGCTCATTGTTCAGTTTATATACCCACACACACACACACACACACACACAGAGTGAGATAGAAAAATGGCTAATGATCAATACAAGGATTTAGAAAATGGCATTGAAAAGGGTGTTGATGATCTGCAAAAGCCATTAATTCAGCAAGCTAAATGTGTGGTTTCTGAAGGAGAAAGTGGAAAAAATGATTCAATTTGGATGGTGCTTTTAAGTACTTTTGTAGCTGTTTGTGGCTCTTTTGAATTTGGAGCATGTGTAAGTATGTGTGTATATATGTGTGTCCATCTGATGTATATATGTATTTATACATATTTATTATATGACCTGTGTGAACCAATTTTTTTCAAGCAAAGAGCTTGTATTGACTAGTTTCTTTTTTTGCATTTTTCTTCTTGTTCAGGACCACCAAAAATAAGTAGGAAAAGAAAATTCTTTAGCTTAAGTTAATTTATTTTGCAGGTGGGCTACTCAGCACCCACTCAATCTGCCATAAGACATGACTTAAACTTATCAATAGCAGAGGTGCGTGATTTCGTGATGAACCAATGTTACATGATGTGAAAACTCACATAGAATTGTGTTGCAGTACTCGATGTTTGGGTCTATAATAACAATTGGAGCTATGATTGGTGCAATAACAAGTGGAAAAATTGCTGATCTCATTGGTAGAAAAGGGGTAAATTCAATCAAAATTTCTTGAAAAAAAGAGATTAATTTTAAGATATTATAGCTTTTTGGCCGTAAATAAAGGTTTTGTTTAATTTGGTCATGGAACAGGCAATGAGAATTTCAGCAGTTTTCTGCATTACAGGATGGCTTGCAGTCTATTTCTCCAAGGTAAAATGAGTGTATTTTTTTAATGTTGGGAAAAATTGTAGCGAGTTGGTTCTTGTCTTCTTGAGCAATTATGCTTAACGGGAATGCCCGTTTATAGTTTTTCCATCCACTTTACCCTGAAAAAATTAGAATTTCTGTCTGAAAGTCGATATTATACTTATTTGAAATGTGATGGGTTTTTAAATTTAAATGAACTGTGTGGCTAATTTACTTCTTAAAAATGTGACATGTAAGCGGGACTTAACTTGTTAGTTAATTTTCCATAAACTTAAAAGGTTAGGGACAGTGTTGTCCAGTGCCCACCAATTTTTGGGTGCTTGTAATTGGGATTGTTTCTTATGTGATATTCAGGGAACTTGGTCACTTGACATGGGGAGATTCTCCACAGGATATGGCATAGGAATTTTCTCATTTGTGGTACTCATTCACCATTAATTTGATTATTTTAAAATAATCTAAAAATCTAGCTTATTTCGTGATTATTAATCTTTCTCCAACAATTAATTACACGGGCAGGTTCCAATATTTATAGCTGAAATAGCACCGAAGAATCTTCGTGGAGGACTCGCAACACTTAATCAAGTATGAGGATCATGTGCTGCATGCATATGTTGAGCTTGATAAAATGCAAATGATCTCTGTTTTGAACTTGGCACTCGTTCTGATCCTTTTATTCTTCAGCTCATGATTGTTTGTGGTGCATCGACTGCATACTTGCTTGGAACAGTCATAACATGGCGAACTTTGGCTCTTACTGGTGAGATCAAAATTCTACTCAGCAGAATTGGATATCATTGGACAGAGAAGAAGCTAAAATATAATACCTAGTCGTTTTCAGTATTGTGTATCTAAAGTACAGACCTGATATAGTAAAAAATTTTTGGAACTTACTGGGGATTTTCTGATACGAAGGTTTTCTTCCGTGCATTTTCCTGCTCGTGGGATTGTTCTTTATCCCTGAGTCTCCCCGATGGCTGGTGAGCTTTTCCGAGAGTTTGATTATTTAGTACTCTTTACTAATGAGATAAAATTGTTTTATATTAAGCAAAGGTAGGAATTTGTAGGCAAAAATGGGACTTCAGAAAGAATTTGAGCTGGCATTACATAAGCTTCGTGGCAGAGATGCTGATGTTTCTCAAGAATCTGCTGATATTCAAGTATATTATACCATCCAGATATTCCAAAAATATCAAGTTCTTCTAGTTTCTTGTACTGATTAGGATATTTTTACGCTGACAGGCTAGTATTGACACTCTACAATATCTTCCTAAAGCTAGAATCATCGATCTGTTCAATAGGAAATATACGAGTGCTGTCATTGTAAGCAATATTTTTTGTTTTCTTGATTAGCTTTACGATCTTGTTTACAAGTACTTATTTGGCTTCGTTCTTAACTTGTTCAGATTGGTGTTGGATTAATGGTTTTCCAACAGTTTGGAGGAATAAATGGAATTGGTTTCTATGCAAGTGAAACGTTTGTGGCTGCAGGATTTTCTTCAGGGAAACTTGGAACAATTGCTTATGCTATAATTCAGGTTTGTTAAAGTATCTCAAGCCAAATTTGGTAGCATCAAATTGGGTTTTGGAAAATTCCTATTCAAAGCCTTGTTTTCGTGCTGCCAAACACGTCTGAGTTGGTTAAATCTCGATGTCTAAATTTTTGCTGCTATTGTGTTTTAGGTCCCAATAACTGTAGTTGGAGCAATATTAATGGATAAATTAGGAAGAAGACCACTTCTTATGGTGAGTACTAATCGTGCACCTCGAGTTCTTCTTTTGTTTGGCAAGTAATATTGTGTCACTAGGAAGTCTTAAAAATGACGAATTTGGTTTTCTGTTTTCAGATATCAGCATCAGGCACATTTCTTGGGAGCTTCCTGGCTGGAGCATCTTTCTTCCTTAAGGTGATTTACTCTTGCAGTTGCTAATATATTTTTATGACTTATTGCCGTATAACTGATTCCGGGTACATCTTTAACACACTATGCTTTCCCAGGGCCAAGGCCTTCTGCTCGAATGGGATCCAGTATTAGCTGTATCGGGAGTACTGGTAAGATCAACTCAATTTCACCATCAATTCATGTGGTTATGGATCAAGTCATAATCCTTACTCTCGGAAGCAATAATAATCGAAAATAAAATACAAGAAAAAAACACAGATATATAGTGATTTATGTTTACTCGCACCCAGTGGCGGAGGGAGGCGGGCGTCAGTGGGTTCCTTGGCCACACTGAAAGAAAAAAATTATACGACTTTTTATTTTTCATTTTTTAATATTACATATTATATGGGTTTGAAAATTTTCTACGTAGTTGAATTAGGCCCTACTGGAACAGAGTTCTGGCGTAACCCTCTTTGTACATCTTTTGCAAACACAAAACGCTTTCCTCAACATATAAACATGACTTTCTGTACATGAATGCATATATGTGCTTGTGATCCTAAATACGTCAATTGATCGATTTTCATTCGACTAAAATTTTCCTCGAATCAATATGAACAGATCTACATAGCATCATTTTCAGTAGGAATGGGACCAGTTCCTTGGGTCATAATGTCAGAGGTAAGCTCAGAAACTATGGTTCTTGTTATAGCTCATGATTATATTTATTCATGGCTTCAAGTTTATAGATTATGATTCTCGATCTTGTTGATGAAGAAAAAGAACGCGTTCGATTATCCCTTTTCTTACTTTACTTTTAGCTAAGAAATTGTATAATTCGAGATTCCTCACTAAAGCTATCATAATACTATAACAACAAACTAGGCCTTGTTCTCGGCAACTCAGGGTCAGCTACCTGAAATCCTTTTTCGCCACCTTGTACGGTTATATAGCAAGATCCAAAGCAGACTACTAAATATTGTTCCGTAAAAGCTAAAATTATTTTATAATTTTCAGATATTCCCAATTCACATGAAAGGTTTAGCTGGGAGCCTGGTAGTACTAGTAAACTGGTTAGGTGCTTGGGCAGTTTCCTACACATTCAACTTTCTCATGAGCTGGAGTTCAACAGGTAAAGGACTACCGTGCAAACATAGTCAAAAATCTAATAATTTAAATCTTAAATTTTAAGTTAATGTTTTGGAATTGATTCATACTTATGTTTGAAATTTTCTTCCTCAGGAACATTCATGCTCTATGCTGGATTCTGTGCTCTTACAGTACTGTTCGTAGTGAAGATAGTGCCCGAAACAAAAGGAAAAACTCTGGAGCAAATCCAGGCCTCCATCAACTCATAGAATGGAATAAGCCAAAGAGAAACCAAATTATCAGTCTGATAAATCAGAAGCTATGATGTGATTATTTCTGCCTGAAGTATCTCGTCTTCCTTTCATTATTCAAGTTCTCTACGCACGTCCCAATCACTGCGAAGGGGGGACGGATAAGGATTCAGAAGTTAGGCTGATATTTTGATGAAATTAGCTTCGACATGGAGAAAACTAGCAAAATGCACCATACAATTGTGCCTGTAGCTGCAGGAAGTTGTTCCAATCAATACAGATGGATCTAATAAAAATATATGTACCTATATCTCTCAAAAACAGATTAATTGTTATTGATTTCAGTCGTTATTGAGTTGTTTTTTGAAAATTTTCAGTTGATACAATAAATTATGCAGATTTCTTCTACATTCAAGTATTTTCCCTTCGTAATATTTCATGATGCCGAATCACTTTATCTAAAAAAAGGTCTCCCTTCGCAATATTTCATGATGTTGAATCACTTGATCTAAAAAAAGGTTAAGGCGTTAAAAAGAGAAGATAAATTTAGGTCATAGAATACTTTCAATTGATAAATTTGGATGTTTGTTATGTGGCATTGAATCGAGAAATACAGCCATTACTAAGGCTTAGAGATGAACTAAGGGAAATATTATGGTGCGAGAAAGTCGGCCCCTTTCTAGAGTTGAACCCGCTCCAATGATCATTAGACCCAGCACCAGAGGTCATGAATGGTGTCTGTTCAGAATCTGATCATTTTTCTGGTTTTTCCCCATATTTTTTGTATTCTTTTAAGTATTTGAATTTCTAATTCAAATTGAGAAGTCACCAATGAAACATTGCAACCTTTTGAAGAGTGCAAGTGAAATCTATAAATAGATTCAACATCTTTGGATTAAAGAAATGAAATCTATATTCTCCTTCTTTGTTCTTTCTTCAAATAAGTTTGCATATTTTTCATCTCCATTATTCTATGAAGTTTGTTTGTATTTAATATTTATTGAGAAAATTTCTGGTATTCGAGAGTATGGAAACTCGGTGCTCTCGGCTATTATTTTATTAGCACGTGTTTATTCATTCAGGTCCATCTCCCAATTAAATAGTGAATCTCACTTGTTTAATATACATGTCAATTAAATAGTGGCAATGGGTACTGAGTACTATATTCTCCGGTAAAATTACAAAATTTTCTATATTTATCATTGTGGAAGGAAAAATATAAACCTCAAGCACATGGCTTCTCTCTCTAGTCTGGGGTTGTTTTCTTTTGTGCACAATGCAAACAATGTATTTGGTTCCATTGTATCCGAATTGGTGCACGTGTTTTATTTTTTGTACATGGAGCCTAAAGTTCTTAATCTCATTTATTTTCTACAATCCATCTTCTTCTACTTCTTTGCCTCGATAATCTGTAAGGTTTATTCCAACAATTGACCCGTGCACGTGCACAAGATTTGATCTGTAGGCCTTTGTGCTGTTCCAATTCAATGATGTTCAGCCCACGTCACCTAAAAGTCTAAACATTTTAAAGAACCTCCGCATCGATTCCAATCTTCTGCTATCCTCGTATATATAATATCTACTTTAAATTGATCACCACTACTCAAGCTCTAAGTAGGCTTGAATTACCAAGCATGCACTCTATTGTTGGCTTGTTAACTCAATGATTGTTGTTGTCCATTTTATATCCCATAAGTCTATGAATCTTAACAAGTAATAAAGTGGATTAAAGAGTCTGGATATCGTTCCCACGAGGATTATTATTTAACAATTGGTTCAATTATTCCTAACTTTAATTTGATCGAAAACAAACAAAGAAGTATATGTTGTAAATTTTAATATAACTATTTGAAAATATGTGAATGCACACAAAGATTGATTTAGAATTTAAACAATGAATGAATATTAGAACAAAACAATTTCATCTATTGATCATTTTTAAATCTCAATTTAGGATTCACACCTAATGTAGTGTTCGATCGAATTTTTTTATTGTATTTAATTAACCCCTCGACCGCAATAATCAGTATAGATATCTCTACCGTTATACTAATTTACCGAATTTTAATATGTGGTCTAAATCTAAAACTTACCTCTCGATTTTTAATAGATTCACGAAATCATTGAATAATTGGCCAAAGAATTCAAAGCATTAAGTACATAATTAAAATCAACACATATGCATTTAAAGAACCTGAATCTTGAATAAAAGAAACAAAGGGTCACAAAAGATTACATGATTTGCTCTAATATGAATTTAGCTACTCATGATAATGGAAGAAAACTAAAGAATATGCATCATGAGGTTCGACACAATTTTTGAGTATTCACACTTTAGTCTCCAAACTTTGGATCTTGTCCTCCATTTTTGCCAATTTTTCGCTTCTTTATTTTAATTCCACTTTCATTCATCAAAATTTACCTAATAAACAAAATATATAATAAATTATGTATAATTGTTCAAAAGAATTATTAAATATCTATATTTGTAGGTCCAAATAAGTGTTGAACCTAGAGATGGCAACGGTTTGGTTTGAGGTCGGTTCGGCAACGGTTTGGTTCGAGGTCGGTTTGGCCAAAACCATTACCGAACCACCAATTTTTTGACCATACCATAACGACACGCATCGATTCCAAACTTTTGCGATCCTCGTATATATAATCACTACTTTAAATTGATCACCACAACTCAAGCTACAAGTAGGCTTGAATTACTGAGCACGCACTCTATTGTTGGCTTTTTAACTCAATGACTGCCACATTATCAACCATCATGGTATATTGTCGAGGAAATATTATTAGTTGTAAGTATATACGTGTTAAAAAAATATGTTACTACTTTCTAAAAATGACATGCTGATTATTGTGGAAATTACACAAAACTAGACTTTAATTATTCAAAATTCCTAAATCAGGTCGGAAGTTGATATTTCAAAAATCAAAATTTTTTATTAATTATTTAAATAAACTAATTACCAAAAAAATCAAAACCCTACACACTACCCAGCCGTCACTACCCACTACCATCTCTTCCCTTTCCTTTGCTCGTCTTTCTCTATCCCTCACTCTCTTCTTCGGCGACGATGCAGCCTTCTCACCACTCTCCTTTGACTTTCTTCTACCCTTTTTCTCTATCTTCTCTCCATATTTCCACCATTTCCCTCTCCAGTTGCCAAAGCCATCACCAAGTAGTGCAATTATCTCCGATGAAGTTGTGCACAGAGGCGCTTCGTCGGAGAGAGCTACGCCCGCTGTTCGTTGAGCGAGCAGCGTTGTGAGTGGCACTTGGCAGTGATGCTTAGATCCAACAGATTTGGTAGAGGCATTTGGCGATTTTGTTTGTTGTTGGTGGCGGTGATTTTATTTGGTGTTTTTGGCCTACTGGTTTATTCTTACCTATTTTGTGAAGTTGTGTTTGGGTGTGGTGGTGGTTAAAAATGGTGGAGGTGGTGATGGGTGGCAGTGATTTTGTTTGTTGTTGGAAGAGGTGACGACGGTTGTGGGGTGTTGGTGGTTGTGTTGGTAGATCTTAAGGTGGCGGGTGCTCGAATCTACAGTTTTTTGTGTTTTATTCTATTGACTTAGCGGTGGTGGTTCTTGTGGTGTGTGGTTTGTGTGTGGGAATGGCATTGGTGACACGATCTGGTGTTGGCGATGGTGCAGTGCGGTGCTTTGGAGTGGTGGGATGGGGCGTGGGTGCTATTGGTGTTGTAGTAATGGTGATGTCAGCGATGGTGGCGATGGGCGGTGTCGCTGGTGGTTGGCGGTGGTACAGTGCTTTGGAGTAGTGGGATGGGGTGTGGGTGTATGTGACAATTTTATAGGTTGACTAAAAGTTGTCATCAATAAATTGGTTAATTTGTGACCAATATGGTGGTAGTTTTGGCGGTGACGGTGGTGGTGCTGCTGTTGGAGGCAGCGCTGAAGTGGTGGTCGTAAGTGTTGGTGATGATCACAGATTATTTGATTGATTGTGATCAGTGAATTGGTTAATCTG